AAACAATAGAAAGTAAGCAATTCTTGTGGACAAATGAATGCCTTCTCTCCAGCCTCTGCAGTGGCTGGAGTATGCTGGCCACAAATAAACGGCGTTCTTAGGGCATGGGAAAGATAAGGATCTTTGCAGCGAAGCAGGGACTCTTTGACAACCAACATCCAAAGCCCTGGCAGGCACAGCCACCCACTTTTCCAAATCATCGTTGTATGACTTATTCTACAATTGCATAAGCTCTATCCAACACATCCTTCCGCTGGGGGCATGGGCAACAGAAACACAGGAGGTCTCTTTCCCCGTGGATACCAGCTACCAGTGGGAGGCCATGCCTGGATGTACAACCCCGGGAGGAGGCCTCCTATTCTGCCTGTGGCTCTGAGGTTTGACAAACTCGTAATGAGCCAGGCAAGTGCGCTGTTTGTCTAGCTTGGGGGCTTGCAGGAAAAGAGCTGCCACCCAGGACTCCCAAACCAGATCCAGGGATTAGTCTGTGGTGGGGGTGTGGGCTTCCCTGGGTCTGGGGTCTTCCTTCTACTGAAAGCAGACAGAAGGCCAGGCGTGGTGGCTCAAGCCTGTAATCCCAGCACTTTGGGAGGCCAGGGCGAGAAGATTGCTTGAGTCCACGGGTTTGAGACCAGCCTGAGCAACTTGACGTCTCCACAGTAAATCAAAAAAATTAGCCGGGTGTGGTGGCTCGCCCCTGTAGTTCCAGCCTCTTGGAAGGCTGAGGCGGAAGGATCGCCTGAGCCCAGTAGGTCGAGGCTGCGGTGGTGTGAGCATGCCACTGCACTCCAGCCTGGGCAACGGAGGGAGATTCGAACTAGAGAAGAAAAGAAAGCGCACAGAGAAGTGTCCCTGGACTTAGAAGTTGTGAGGGTGAGGACTGGCTGTGAGGGTCAAGCTCTCAACCCACACTGATTTTCAGCCCACGCTGGGGTAGTATTCCATTGGGGTCACCTTAGAAAACTCTGGTACTTCTAAGAGAACATCAGTGCTAGCTTTGCTCCTGGCAGGAAGCTGCCCTTAGCTGCCACTAACACCTTTTTCTTTCTCTGGGTCCATAAAGGGTTACCTCACCTCATAGGTCCCCTAGAGAACATCAGGGCTGCTCCAGAGTGTGTGGTCAGGGATGAGCTCTTAATAACAGGGATTCTGGAGGGGATGTTTCTCTCTGCCCCAGTTGGTGAATTTAGCAGTTTTATCTAAATACAGTCATTAGAGATAGATTTACCTCTAAGCAAGTGCCCTTGACTATCTTCCCCTAGAATGGGGCAGGGATATGAACTAAAGCAGGGGAATTGTCTTGGGCTTTATGTTGGACATTAGAGCTTTATCTTTGTAACTCCATTGCAGGTTTCCATGGATACTGACAACAAACCTCATTTGGTCTAATGAGAAATCTCTCACTAATAAAGGCAGGAGTTGCTTTTGACAAATATGCCTTAAAATCATCCCTCCATTCGTTCTAAGGACACCCATTTGCAGATAATTTTAAAACGTGTGGCAGTTAACAGTGGGGGCTTCTACCCTGTGCAGTGCCCAGACTCTTCAGTGGCGATAACTCCAAACTGAAGCCCGTCCCAGCGGCAAGAAGGCTGCCAGGGCTCCAGTCTCCAACTCTCTCTCTTTCTACAAGGAGCCACCTCCTTTCAGTGAGTTTGGGCTGAGTGGAAAGAAAGCCAGCCACATCCTCATCACACATGACACAAGACCAGTATTACCTGGCTGCCTGGAACCTCATAGCTAAACACATTTGCTCACCCACCTTATATGGTCCCCAAACTGTGATGTCCCGTGTCCTACTATACCCCATGTCAGCCCAGATGTGGCCCAGTAGCTGCCCACTCTGGCCACGAGTTGGCCCTCCAGCTCTGTCCAGAGCTTCCTGTTTTTGAACCAAGCATTCTGCACCCCAATGAAAATCCTCTGGCTGCCCCCATTTTTGTATTTTCACCTTGTGACCTATTTAGGAGAAATCCTTATCTCGCGTGTCCTAGAGTATCCTCCAGGGGCAGTGCAGCTGCTTTCCTGTCTCTGGAGAGTCAGGAGGGAGGGCAGGGCCAGATGGGATGGGGCCATCCTGGCAGACAGCATTCCGGAGAATGCAGCTTGGTCTCCTTGGCAGGGAAGGAAGTAGGCTCTGCTGGACTCGGTCAACCCAGTCGTCTCTTGATTAGGAGCTCATTGGAGACTTTCCCTCATTTCTCCCATCTCTGCTTTCCCTGACCCTCCTTCAGATGTATTAGTGGTTTGTTTGGTTCACACATACACATGTGCAAAGTCAACATACTGCAAAATGCCCACTGTACTGTGGACACTGGAGTCCAAGCTTGGGGGTCTGTAGAGGTGAAGGAGGCTGTGACTGCACCACCGCCACCCCAGGCCTGGTGGCAGAATGTGCACTCAGAGCCCTGTGCCCAGGGCGGGCCTCAGATCAGAACCTTTAGGGTTTGGGACTTGGGATGTTCAAGGTTCCACTCAGTGGCCAAGACAAGTCCCGAATGTGAAGAGTGGTGGTTCCAGAATCACCCAAGCCAGATAACCTGCTTATGGCTGCCTCCGTGGGTTAGAAACAAAGCGCTAGAGCTGCACGTATTTATAAAATATCCTTTATTTATTCTAAGGAACACAGTCAAGTAGTAGCTTAAAAAAAAAACCCCAACACACCTTTTGAAAGATATTATTAGCGTAGTGACCTGGCTTTGAGCCCCACGTGAGTGGGACGGTGGCCGGAGCTGCCCGTGGTGGCTTTGGTGGCAGGGGTTTAATGGGAAATGGAAGCTTTGGCACAGCTCTGCCCAGTTGCTTATAATCAAGAATAGTTAGATTTGAGGTTTATGAAGAGCAGAAGTAACATGTATACTGCTGGCATTTGACAAAAGATTACTTGTAATATAGATTCATTCCAGGAAGTGTACAAATTCTTTGATGGAATTGATACTTTGTGCTTTCTGTTTATGGAGACTAGGTATATTAGAATTACAGTGTTACGATGGGAGAACGGCATTTCCTTCAAAATTCAGAATTTTCTGTTGATGTAAAATTATACTTCCTGATTTTTCTTAATTAATAAATAGACCAACATTTAGTCAGAGTAACTCTTCCCCCTCCTTTTTTTTTTTTTTTTGGCACAATGATTTAATAAAAAAGAGTTTGCTTGAGAATGTCAAGGAATCTTCACCAATCAGTAATCGTGCTATTATACCAGAAAAACCCACAAACACACGCAGCATTGAGCTGTTTTCACAAGACTTCCTTTCTAATCAACACAACACTTTCTCCTCCTCTCAGATGTGAGCCTCAGATGCCAAAATGTGGATGTACCAACTGTAGGCGCGTTGCTAAGCGGAGGAGCAGCTTAGCAAGTTTGTCCAGCAAATTAGATTGTGCCGTGGGCTGGCATCTGCTCTGTGGCCTTGCAGGGGAAGCGGCTGCACTCCTGTCCTCTGAGGCAGGTCGAGGCCGGTGGCCCTTCGAGGGCAGATAAAACTCCATGGGGTTATGTTCGAACACTCTATGGATTACGACATATGAGCTTCAAGAAGAATCACAAAAAAGCTCATTAAAATTGGAGGCCTACATGAATCCATCCAAACTCCCTGTCTCGGAGAGAGACAGACCGAGATCCTGTTCTGCGCTTAGGTGATCTGCAGTTCACATGCTGGCTGTATGCGTCTCCCTGGCTGGCCTGAGAGCCAGTAACCTTCTCATACCACTATAAGGGGCTCCAGAGAGGATGTCACTCTCAACCAAACAGCAGTAAAAGAGAAAATGCAAACATTTAAGACTCGGTTCAAAAGCCCCCGGACACCTTGTCTGTCTTTCCAGGTTCACATCTGTCAGGGGCTGTGAATCAGAATTCAGAATGTGTGCTACCCAGAGGGGATAGGCAGAAAAAGCGAGGGAACACCCAAAGGCAATAAATAACACCAAACTCAGGACCTAGCCCCGACCCTCTCCCAGCTACCACTGCTGGATAGGCCTCCATTGGAACTGAAGGAACCAAGGTAGAAATTCATTTCATTTCCAAACCTTCCGGCACACCGAACGTGGAAACCCGGGTACTGTTTCTGCACAGGATGGAGTCTCAGTCTTTTGCTTTATAGCATCGTTTATGGCATGAACTAGAAATGTAATGTGTTCACACAAACACACGACAATTGTACATCAGCATCTTTACAATATTAAAGGAGTCATATACAAGTCTACAGGCATCGTACACAGGGTGGTGATGGCTGGAGAGCCCCACCCACCAGTCCTCGACAGTTTCTCCACCCAGGAAAGAGCCAGCACATGGGGAAGTGTGACAAGGTGTGGGGAAGGGACCGGGGGGTGGAGATGCTCCCATTTTGGGGCCTGTTGTCTGGGAGGCAGCAGGTCTATGAGGCCCCCTCAGGGCCAGTCCTCACTGGAATCTGGGGTCAAGAGCGCCAGGTATGCCTGTGTCCAGGTCTTATCGGCAGGCTAATGTAACAGTTTAATTAAAACTCAGTGTGCATATTAGCATGAGGAAATGAGCTGGGGATGGCTCCCTGAGCTGGGGACCCAGAGGACACTGCTGACAGATGGGCCCCTCGAAGGTGAGGCCCATTCCTGAGGTAAGGTGTGGCCCGTGGCTGGTCCGAATAGGAAGAGACTTCTCTAGGAGTCCAGGTGTGAGTGTACGCACACAGGGCTGGGAGTCCCTGGGCATTGAGATTAGATGACCTGCCAAGTGCAGCCTGAGCCCCAGAGGGCAGTAAAGGTGAGGGTCTCAGAGGGTTAGAGACACCCAGCCCCAACAGCCCTCCTCCCATCAGCCTTGCCCCCTGGGGGACCTGCTTCAGCTCCCGCAGCAGCACCATCATCCTGGCCTCTGTCGCGAGAGCCCCAGCTCTGTAGACACCTGGGCCCGAGCGCCAGGCAGCTCATCCACCAGGCGGGCAGGCTGCACGTCCGACTGAGAACTGAGCACCAGATAAAGAAGCGTTGGTCCTTGTCAGCCTCTCTGGCTTGTGCAGTTACAGTTGCTTCCATTTTAAATACTGTAGAAAAATAAGCCATCTCTGACGCAAGCAGACCGGCCAGAGTCTGCAATGCGTGGAGGATGGCTCCCCTGGAGTAGCCGTGGACACCTCTGCCAACCCCACCTTCGCAAGCCCTGGAGCCTCAGAGGATGCAGCACCAGGCTGGGGAGCCGAGGGGCTGGGGGCGCTGGCAGCAGAGTTCCCCCCACAGCATCTTTGGGTCACATCAACAGTCCTTCGGCGGGCATGCCTCCAGCATCCCAGTCTGTTGCCATGACGCCTGGGGCCCCGGGGCTCCCTGGGTCAGCTTTGGACCCTCCAGCCCCACCCTCGGTCTCAAGTCCACGGCTGAGCACGCACAGGCAGAACTCCCCAGCGCTGTCTCCAGGTCCCTGGGATGTCCCAGGTGAGCACTGAGGCAGGGCCTAGTCCAGGGGTTCCTGCTTTATCCGGACAGCCGTGGGGGCGGGTTGCGGTCGCCGTTCCTCGCGGCAAAGCACATACTCGCTGAACTGGGAGGAGTCCACGCCCCCCCCACAGGATGCCGCCACGCTGAAACCCCTCTGAAACAGCCTCTCCAGGACCTGCCGGGGAAGAAATAGGAGTCAGCAATACCCAACTGCGAGAGTTAGCTTGGCTTGGCCTGGTGGGCAGCTGAGTGCCTAGCAGGGCAGCCGGCCGGAGCAAGCCACCTTCTCCAACAACAAAGATCCTTGGAGAGTCACCTGATGGGATTTTTGCTTTTTTGAGTAGGTGTGTCACTCGTTGTTGCCCTGCTGGGCTCAGGCGATCCTTCAGCCTCAGCCTTCCAAGTAGGGGGAACCACAGGCATGCATCACCATGCCCAGCTAATTTTTCTTGATTTATTGTAGAGACAAGGCCTCGCCAAGTTGTCCAGTCTTGTCTTGTACCCCTGGGCTCAGGCAATCCTCTCACCTCCGCCTCTCAAAGTGCTGGGATTACAGGTGTGAGCCACCGTGCCTGGCTGACCTGCTAGGCTCTACTACAGGAGGGACAGAAGCTGCTAGGCCAGGGGCTTCTTCAGTTACCAGACCCAGATGTACCCACCCCAGACTACTACCCCCTACAGTTTTGATTCGAGGACGCAGAAAGTCTTTGGGCCTGTTCCCTCTTCTCTAGGGTATAACATTCCCCTCTCTCCAGACACATGGTCCCAGGTGCCCCCTCCCTGACAGAGCCCTGCCCCAATAACAGAGAGGCCCCCGCCCCAAAGCCTCTGGGCATCCACCTGCTTCCCTGAGCTGTGAGTCCCAGATGGCTTGAAGCCCGAGGGCACATCAGTTCCGGGGAGCTCTGAGTGACAGAAAAAGGAGGAGTCCCCCCAACGTTTGAGTTTCAGCAGGACTCCATGTCCACAGGGGCTTGGCCTCTGTGAGGGTGGGGTCTGGTCATTGTGTCTGACACCTGCATCCTGCAACTAGCAAGTTCCGACCCACAGCCTGTGGAAGGTGTGCATGGTGGGAGCTTTCCCCCACAAAGTGCATTCTGCCCTAACCCTGAAATCTGAATGTGCTCCTGGGTCTGGGAAGAGCCGTTGGAAATAGGCCCCTGCTCCATATGGGCTTCCCAATTAGATACGTCCAGGAAAAGCCAGTCCAGAATGCTCTGGGCAGTGGTTGGGTCCCTACAGCTCCCAGGTCAGCAGGGCAAGACACGCGGCTGAGCCACCTGTCCTCTCAGCCTCTGTCCTGCTTCACCCGGTGCCTGGGTTTAGTTTGAATCCAAAGTCCAACTCTGGTGTCAAATGAAGCACATTTTGTAAAAAATACTCAGGGCCATTTTTATAGAACATCCTTTTGGGGAAAAAAAAAAAAAAGTACAGATCAATTTTTTTAAGTCCATCCCCCGGGCGCCATCATTTAATTATGAGCGGGACATAAATTATGCATCGACACATTGTTGCCTGTTTTGTCAGCGGGCACCAGGCCGCGCCTCCCTCCGGCTGGCTCTGCACCCGCGGGCTCGCGGCGTCGTGGGGGCGGCCGCAGCCTCACCTGCACCGAGTTGAGCCGGCAGTAGCCGTTGAGCGGGAAGCGGATGACGTGCGTGGGGTCCTGGTTCCAGCCAGCGTTGACGGAGTTGCACATGACGTCCCCGGTCTCGGGGAAGACCTCCTCGATGAGGGCCTTCTCGCCGCTGAGCGCGATCCGCTCGCCCAGGTCGGGCGTGACGCGCACCACCAGGCAGTCGCAGGCCCGGCTGCGGCGCCGCTGCTCCTGCTCCTGCTGCCAGCGCTCCAGCTCGCGGACCATGGGCTGCAGCTGGTAGTAGCGCGCCTCCTCGTACAGCAGGCTGAAGTCCTGGGCACGGGGGCACAGCGAGTCAGGGGAGGCGGTGGGGGGGACACGGACGGGGCGCTGCTCTCCGACCCCGGGAGGCCTCTTCTAACAACTCGGCAGCAGATGCGAGCCCTGAGGCCCTGCGGCCCGGCATGGTCCTCCCCACTGTACAGATGGAACAAGCGAGTGTGTCCACACATAAGGAATCCCGCCTGGACCCAAGGGCAGCCGCAGGTGTGCCCCAGGGCCGGACCCCCTGAGCTCTTCCATCTGGCCCCAAGCACCTGGGCAGAGAAGCCTCCTTCTGGAAAGGTGGGTAGACTCCGCTTGAGGGCCTGGAGGCCGTGCCTGCGTCCTGGGCTGCCTTCTTGGATTCCCACCGAGAACAGGGCAGCCCATCTCTATTTTCCCCCAGGAACTCAGAGCCCAGTCTAGAGGCAAAAATGGGCATCTCCAGCCAGACCTGCCTGAATTGGCTTTTCAGCTTCAACATCTGCCATGGCGCCCTGGGACCTCTAAACCCCCGTAACTAACCTTCTCTGTTTCCTTGTCTACAAAATTGGATGTAAGCACCCGGCTCAGAGAAGACAAGTAAGGAGTAAAGGACACGGGATCTGCCCCGTGCCTGGCCCCGCCCTGCCCAAGCAGGGACAGAGTACCGTGAAGGCCCAGGGAGGGGAAGCCCACCCCTTGTCAAGCCGTCCACTCTGGGGTTGGCCAGTCTCAGCCACACACAGCGTCCCTCAGGCCCTGAGATTGGACCCATGCCCTGGGCCACATATGCACATCACACATGCTCTCCCATATCCACCCCGGCCCCGACGACACGACTCACTGAGAGTCACTGGCTGGGTCTCTGCCAGGAAGTCTGGCTGGTGAGCCCAAGCGCCCCTGGGAAAAGGCAAGGAAGCCCAGCCCCCAAAGCAAGTCTGCCGTCCCTTCAGCTGCTGGCTCTGGCCTTTGTAACTATCCGGAGGGAGGCCCAAGGTTTAACCCCTTGCTGTGGGGCTATCATCAGTTGGTGACCCATCCTGCCCTCTGCAAAGGTTCCTCAAGGCTACATCCTGGGCCTCTGCTCTCACTCGGGCTCAAGTTTTTTTGTTGATTTGGGTTTTTTTGAGTTGGAGTCTCCCTCTTGTCACCCACGCTGGCGTGCAGTGGCCCGCTCCCGGCCACCGCAGCCTCGACCTGCTGGGCTCCGGC